CTCTTTTCTGCCAAAAGTCCGCCAAGATAATTAGGTTAACTTGTGGACCCAAATGCTTTAAATGAATCCTCACATGTTTTTGTTTCCGTGCGAGGCTCAAAATTACCCATAATTAGTGGCACTCACCGGTTGGTCTTCTGTCGTCCACAGGAGACAATGCACTTAAGCTTGTCTCAAATACAGAGTCCATGAATTTATGGCAATTTCAGATAAGAAGGCGACTAGGGATAAGAGGTGACCTAATTAACAAACAAAACAGAGAACAACCACAACTTTGAGTAGTACATAATTTTGACGTCATAGTCTGAGGTCATGACATTCTTATCGATATGGTTCAGGCAGAATGCATGAAGAGCCACCTGTCTCTGTTGTCGCATCGTATCAGCATGTAGACAGCACTGCAGGAGATAGAAACAACTAGGGACACTCGTTTTAATATTATGTTGTTACTGAAAGCACACTTCAATAATGATAATAATATTATTTTTAAATGATATTATTGTGACGTGTATATACGTGTGTGTTTGTGTGTGTGTATGTGTGTGTGTGTGTGTGCTTGTGTGTGTGTTGAGGATGCAGTACGTGTGCATGTTGGATTTTTGTGTGTACATATTATAATATGTGTATGTGTGTGTTAATTCTCTCTCTTTCTCTCTCTCTCTCTCTCTCTCTCTCTCTCTCTCTCACACACACACACACACACACACACACACACACACACATTTCCTCTCCCTGCCGGCTCTCCAAATTTTAATAAGCTAACCTAATGCTCAAAGAGAGGTACTGTACTTGACACATAATATTGTTTTTCTTTCTTTCTTGGCGTTGTCCATCCACTGCAGGATGAAGCCCCCCCCCCCAACAACAACCCCCTATCCTGGTTGTACCCGTCCACTTTTCGATGTTACCTTGCCTCTTTCTTTCCATTTCTCCTGCTCTTCCTTTTTCCAGTTCTTGGTCTCTTTTCAATGCATGATTTTTTGTCTATCTATTAGGATTATCTTTCTCACTATCAGCCAATTTCCATTTTAGTTGAAGTGTGAATTTAGAGATATCTCCGATCACTTCTGTTTTCTTTAGTATATTATGATTATACACTTATATCATAATCGATTAATAAATGTGTTATTTTATTGTGTAAAAATGCATGTTAATGTAATATCATGTACAATGTGAGTGTAAACATTCCCGTGTATGTGTGTGTGTGTGTGTG